TTTTTTTTTTCTTTTGTGCTCAAAAAGTATTCTCGTAGCTTTGTAAAATTTACGGTTGAACCCCTGATGTCACATGGATTATTTTACTGATGTCCTTGCTATGTTTCTGGGCCTTGATCGTGTAAGGACCCTTGCTGTCTATGGAAGGGTGACATGACATGAGGGTGAGTAAATAATGACAGAATTTTCATTTTTGGGTGAACTATCCCTTTAATTTTAACCTTTAATATTATAGTAATGTGCCAAATGATAGGGCTCCCTGTGTAGTTAACAGCATTGGTTAGGAGAGATTTTTTTCCTTAAGAAAATCAAAATCGGTAACGGCATCGGTATTGCAGATATCATTCTGAATAATCGGCTATCGGTATCGGCAGCAAAATTCAGTATTGGTGCATCAAATAAATAAACCTATATGCTTTCTGTGGGTAACATCTAAATGAACTGTTTTCAATTAAGTTAATGAATTGGTTTTGATTTAATTAAAAATAAATGTTTATGTGAAACCAATTTTATTCTTTTAGAAAATAGAAAAGTGATTTAAACTATATAAATCCGTTGCACAGGATTTTAATCATATCTATGAAATTAGGGCTCCGTGGCCTCCCATTCTCTACTAATCAAAACACTATCATCATTTAAAAAAATACAGCAGCATGCAAAACTAATGTAATGACACTTTTTTTAAAACCTAACTGAAATCATCTCAATATTCACAATGCTGCATAATTTTATAGAACCAGCAAAATCATTATGAACATATAGTAAATTCTCAATAAGTCACCCTGTTCTTGTTGCAATAAATCACCATGAAAGAAATGTTTCAGGAACTCACAGTTTGATTTATGATTTACATAACGCTCATGTTTAACAAATTATACTATGGTAGACATTCAATTGCAACAAACTGTTTACCTCAAGAACAACTATTAAAGGTGCAATAGATGATTGTCTTCAGAAACATTTTTTGTTATGCTAGTTGAAAGTCTCTTCACATCACGATAGCAATCATTAAGTTAAGTGGTCTAAATGTATTTATCTGTATTTATATATTCTGCGGAAGGCGTAGGACCAAGAAATGTTTGTCCAATCAAAACGCTCGGTCCGAGTGTTTTAATTGGCTTTCCTACCTGTCTATCAACGTATGTATTAGCATACCTCTGCGCACCCGGTTCGCGCAGACAGGATACGTCATCAGTTCCTGTCCTCACGCCCCCCAGCTCTGCATATTTTGCATGTCTTGCTTAGTTAACACACCCGATTCAGATAACCAGCTCGTTAGAAGTGAGCTACGTGCATGAACTGTGTTCCGATCGATATGGTCCCTACACAGCGTTCATTGCTCCCTACTCTCTGAGCAAGAGAAATCCGTTGAAGTTTACTTCACTTCAGAACATTCATTCACGGATTTGCGCTGCGCAGCGTCTTCACACACATCACACTCACACACACGTCTTCACATCCAGTGCGAGGACTGGAATTGGGAACTGCTGATGTAGCCTATTGTAGTAATGTTGTCTCTGGTATTCTGGTCTGTGAGCGTATATGCGTTCAGGGGCGTGGCTTTGGGCGGCAATTGCAGGGAGGGTGGGACGTTCGCTTTCAGTGCTATCAGGCTAAAGTTAGCATTTTCCATCTCCTACTGCACCTTTAAGCTGATGTTGTATAGCACTTGGTATGAAATCTGGGAAGGTGAAATGCAGCATAGCAGGAACACAACTCAGTTATGTTGTCTTTGCGTCACATGACCGTCTGGCCATGAAAAACTTTTTCACAGCAGAGTGCAGCACGACCACCTCCCAAGCGTCGCTTCCCACGCCATCCAGACTCACCCTAGCGCTTCATAGGCGCACACTGCAGCTCACCAAGCAACAGAAAGACTACTTTGTACATGTGTGCAGAGATGCATGTATTAAATGCATATGCAACAGGGTGTGTGGCTCAGTATGGATAATATTATCATAGCAGGGTATTACACAGAAAGAAAAGCATGCAAACACACACACACACACACACACACACAAACACACACCATAACACTCCAGAAGAGGAATCAGTTGAGAAGCAGGTGTCAATGACAAATCATTAACACCAGTCTACACTTTGCTAAAATCTGTCTCCTTCCAGATCCTTCTGCGATGCACTCTTATGGAAACTAATTTTTCCTCTCCACAGCTGCTTTTATTCCTTTATTATTGGCGGCTCTGGTGTATAGACCTATAGACCTCAGAATAGACCTTCATAATCCCCCATATTCACCGTGCACTCCAGGACCCGTTCAATGCACAGCTACACAATGCAGCAACGACTGAAAGTTATGATGCCCCTCATACCAGAGCACCGTTGCGTCAACGCCTCTAATGCTAAAGGTCACGATTGATTGACCTTTAAGTGATCAATTGGACATAAAACATAGGCATTCATTTTTGTTCAAACAAAACAAAACAAAACTTGATAGCACTTTGCAATAAGGTTCCATTTGTTAACTTTATTTAATGCATTAACTAACATTAACAATGAGCAATACATTTGTTATAGTATTTATTCATTTTTGTTCACGTTAGTTAATAAAATACAACTGCTCATTGTCAGTTCATGTTAGCTCAGGTCCATTAAATAACATTAATAGAAACAACTTTTGATTTTAAATAATGTATTAGTAAGTGTTGGAATCAACATAAATGCTTTAGAATATTTTTCATTGTTAGTTTATGTTACCTAATGTGGTTATCTAATGTTAACAAATGGAACATCATTGTAAATTGTTTCAAAAAACTACTTAAACAGGATTACAATATAACATCTTAGAATATAAAAATATGTTAATAAAAATAAAATATTTATTATTTTTCACACACACACACACAAAAACATCTTAACAGTGCAAAATATAATGCAATTATTTATTTGAAGCACTAATTAATTCATAATTCATTAATTCATAGCCAGGAAGTGAGGACCAGACAATTATTTATTTTCATTTTAATTAATGAAAATGTGTTATCTGCTTCTGTATTAATTTCATAATCAATATTATTTATCTGTCCCTTTTAATTTTAATGTTTTTAGTGAACAGCTACTGTAAATGGTTTGTTAGGAAGACAAACCAATTATTAACTGCATAATTGTTTATTTGCATGTGCAACAGTTATTTTTTCCCATATGGCTGCCACTCCTCTGACAAGAAATGGAACCAAATGTTGTTGTTGTTGTAGTTTTTTTTTTTTTTTGTAAATCTTGCTAAATTTTGCTGGCTATGCGTGTTGATTTCTGCCTGAAATGAAGCATGACTTTTATCTGTTTTTCAACACAACCAAGTCCCACAAATAGAAGGAGTATAAAAGCTGTACAGAAAGTTCAAAATGTAAAAAATAAATAAATAAATAAACATATGACACATATGAATGCTTAGACTACTTGGACCATTACCACTTGCACATTTTTTCATTAAACATATCCTTAAAACAAAAACATTTTAAGGTGCCAATAGTCAGTTTCAGAGGGCTTTACACAACAGATGTACTGACATGCCGCATGGTTTTGAATTGATTTTCTACCTCCTGAATAGGTACATGACCAAATGGTGCTAACAACATCTCAACAGCTGCTTGGCAGAGCTGCAAAATGTCACTTGTAAGCATTCAATCGACAGCATGTTTAAATGCTCAAAAGCTACCAAAAACTCAAATTTGCCATTAAGAACATAAGAGGGAGGAAATTTTGAGCTCTGAAAGTTTGTGTTCATAGTACATCAAGCCTTTTATCTGAAAAAAAGTAATTTGATTTCTCTTTAAATTATTCACTGTCATTATTAGGGGTTATCATCATATGTCACATAAATAAGGTCAAAATCTCATATCATATCCAATTGTGTTCCATGTATATTGGAAGTTATTTTTGGTCAAATAAACACCTTTTACACAAAACTGTTTAAACAATACGGTACATTTTACTGAGTGGCTGTCTCATAACCGATTTCACAACCCAAATTTCTGTTTAATTACATGACTCACAATTACAGGTAGACAACGCTCTCTTTCTTCAACGTGGCACTTCATTACAAACAATATGACGCATGATGTTGGACTCAGTTGGGCAGTCAGTGGATGAAGATCCAAACACTGAAACCCAAGCTGACCAGAGGCCTCCTTTGACTCTTTGGGTTAACAATGCATGTCCACCACATGAACCATTAGTTATAACCACACTGACAGTAAATGTCAGTGCAACTATTTTGCAAACGCTCTTCAAAACTGCTAGATTCGAAATGAAATGCTTTTGAATCTAAATGCTTTAGAAATGCTGAAATATTAGACAGCGCAACAATGGTACAACTACATAACACAAGAGGGATTTTTTTCTTTACACGCAGGGGAATTGTTTAGTACAGGCAAAATATGCAGGTTAACATAAACACTGAACAGCTGCTGAACAGGACTAACCTTTGGAGTGGAAATCTGCAGCTAGTGGGCTAACAGGAGGCTTCTTCACGGCAGCAGAACGGTACACAATGTGAGAACGGCCACCGTCCTCTTCCTCCTGCTCAATCACATGATGTCCCGTTTCCACTGGCTCAATGAAAAACTCCTCCTGCTCAGTTCTGATCATCCCTGCCTGTGAGAAGAAAAAAAGAGATCAATACAGTGTGCCAAACTTATACAAAGGTTACAATGCCATACCACAGGATAAACAAAGACGTTCTTCAAAGTAATAACTGATATACTCCAGACATCTTGTGATAAACTGAGTGACACAGAGAATAAAGGACCCATGCCAGGTGTTTATTGGGTTGAATCCCTTACTGATGACGAGAGGAAGACGTTCCCAGTCCTTCTTTCTGGCTTTGAGAAAGCAACTTAACTCGTCTACACTGTTTTATTAATTCCTCGAAAAAACAGGTAATTGAAAAGTGCAGAGACTGCACAAATGGCATGTGCAAAAAAAGAGGCATTTATACAATCAAAATCCTACATGTGTACAGTTTTCTCGAAATCTGTTCATATCTGAGCTATTGGATAAGCAGAGATCAACCAAACAGTATATCCATCTAAATAACAAAGTTTGGTATGAGGCTTTTGGCAAAAGGCTGAATTTATTCAAACATACAGTACAAACAGCAATATTGTGAAATGTTATTACTATTTAAAATAACTGTTTTCTATTTTAATGCATTTTAAAATGTCATTTATTCCTGTGATGGCAAAGCTGTGTTTTTCAGCAGCCATTACTTCAGTCTTCAGTGTCACATGATCCTTCAGAAATCATTCTGACATGCTGATTTTGTGCTCAAGAAACATTTATTTATTATCAATGTTGAAAACAGTTGTGCTGCATAATATTTTTGTGGAAAACATTATATTTTTAAAGGATTATTTGATGAATAGAAAGTTCAAAAGAACAACATTAATTTAAAATAAAAATCTTTTTAACAATGTAAACCTCTTTACTGTCATTTTAGATAAATTTTATGTCCTTGCTGAATAAGTATTAAAGTCCAGGCAATTCAGAGAATTGTTTCTAAACGCATTATAAATGTTAGAAATGTATTGCTGAAAACAAGTTACAAAGACACTGAACTGAGTAGTACTGAATTGTGGAGTTAGACTGTTAAATAGCTTTTCACCATTTGTGTGTTCAGGATTTTTTGGACAGGTCTGAAATTATGTCTGGATGACACACCGGAGCCACTGATCATGGCCCCTCCCCTAACACTATATGAGCTTTGTTCGACTTGTAGCAGCGCTGCGCAGACTGATCATTGTAGGACACCGAAGTACCATGAGAGCTATAGAGAGCAGACAGCTCCTTATGCTTTCGAATCGCTCTCGCTGTACTTTGATGTCATACACCGATCAGTCTGCGCAGCGCCGATTGAAGTCGAACACACCTAATAACTAGTGGATTGGCCGCTCAATCGCGAGTTACTGTCATTGCCATTAGTTACTACAGCCTACAGTTTTCTAGCTATGCCTTCGTCACGTAAATGCATATTACCTGGTTGCGATTATTTATAAAACAGCTCGGTTATTTAAATTAAGTTGCAAGAGCAGGGATGGGCAACTGGCGGCCCGTGATGTTTTTTGTATATTAGACTCGGATGATCAATTTTAAAACATTTGAAAAGATTGCTTTCAGTTAATGATAATACTAACTCCAACCAGGAGGTCCCTAGTTTTCAGCCGCACACCATATTAATTTCAGCGTAGTAATAAGTGCACTGTGCTATGTGAACATTCACTAAAATAATAGAAAAATTGACTATGAAAATCGTATTTTCCGGTCAAGTTGGTAAACATGGGGATACCCCTATGTTTGGGTTGTTTGGAAACGTAATCTGTAATGAAAGATTTTAATTAAAATCGCCATCACACCACAGCTCACAAAGTATGAAAGATACACCAGTGATGCCAGAGTTGCACTTCAATTTCAAAGGTAAAAGGCACAGTCAACAAAACCTTTTTGCCAAATGCATGACAGAAAATGTTTGTACATTTAAAAGAATTAAACAAGAAAAAAAATGAATTGTGGCTAAAATGAAACAAGCTAGTGAACCAATGAAATCATTAGGCCTCTCTGTTCTTCTGTGTGTTCAATCTTGATTCTAGATCATTTTACACCACAATTTCCATTTTAGCACCTTTTTATTCCTAATACGGGCCCCTGCACAATGCAGAACCCTCCTCTGGGCCAACTTTAATACATAGCACTGAAATCCTCTTTCTAGCTTTCAGACTCTAAAAGGTTTAGTGTACCCTTAGGCCCCGTTTCACCTGCTCTGAGACACATTACTCCCACCGATATCCTCCCTAAGTCAGTCAAATCTCAATTTTATTTCCACACCTGATTTAGGATCAGTTCTTTTAACACCAGCTGCATCTTAAACACATGGACATTTATAACAGGAGTGGCTCTGAATCAGCTGTGGCACATATGAGACAGAAAGTGGATTTCAGAAGCACCCCAGAGAGTGATACGCCACAGTGATTCCCAGAGGAGACAGATCGTCTGTCTCTTCTTATGGCTGGAGTACCATTGCCGATGGGCATGGTGTGGACCACTGTGTGACCACTACAGGTAAGTAGCCGTGGGTTCGGCTGACGCTTGCAAACACCTGTCATTAAAATATTAGCCCATTAAAGCCCAGATTCTTCCTACAAATGTGCCTTCTTTCATATGAACATACTGTGTAATGCTGCAATTCTTTTTTTTTTTTTTTACATAAATACAAAAACTTTAGAGACCGGTGGGCAAATATCCCAGTTCTCATTTATTGGTCTAGGCTGGAGTTACCCTACTACTGCGATCAGATGCTGCTGTGTGACAATTCTGCCTACCACACAACACAAGTTGTAATCCCTTGATAGCTAATTGGCCAGTGTGCGTAAACCACCCAAGTATCAGTGGCTTAGGATAAGTGCATGTCAGCTCTAGCTTTTACACGGGTCACTGCAAATGATGGTTTCTTGACATGATTCACACCGAAAGGAGACTGAGGAGGGAGCCATCACCGCCCATGCTGAGCACAGCTGGAGTTTGCTGAGCAAAAATATGCTAAAAGATCCATATGTCAGCCTGAGTTATGTAAGCCATCTCAGAAGGGCATCTACCCTGGATGACCTTCTCTTCAATGAGAGGGAGAAGAGGACACAGAAACAGATAGAAAGAGAGAAAGGAAAGAAGAGGAAGGAAAGGTGGAAGGTAGAAGAAAGAAGGCCAGAGGGCAAGATGTATCCTGTCAGGAGGGTGAAAGTGTATCACCTGATGCTAGTGACAGGAGAGTGAAAGATAAAAACATCAAGTGGAGGTGGCTAACACGCAGTGTCAGGTAATCTTTCTCTCTCTCGCTCGCTCTTGCGCTCTCTAGGTCCTTGCTCTAAAACAAGCGTTCGGAAAATTGCCTTCACTCTCCTTAATTCCATCGGTCTGTTTAGACAACTGGTAATTACCAGTCTTGCTGACTGCATCTATGCAGCATCCATAAGGGAAATCTCACATCACACACACACACAAGCATAAATTCATGCCCCAGGCATGCTCCACATGCGCACTGTCATTGTCTGTCCTCTCACGTTGACGTCTTAGACAGAAATGGCTGAATGAGCATGCACTGAGAATAACATGATCATTTTAGTAACTTTTGTGGCTCCTGCATAAAATTAGACGTGATAAGCATGTGTATTATATACACACACACACACATAAAGACACTACTTGTCAGAAGTTTGGAATCATTAAGATTGCATTTATTTGATCAAAAATACAGTAAAAACAGTAGTATTGTGAAATAGTTTTATAATTTAAAATAAATGTTTTCTATTCTAATATATTTTATCATTTAATGTATTCCTTTAATGGCAAAACTTAGTTCCCTTTCAGTCGGTCACTCTCGACGTCACGTCGGATGACCGACCTTTCTTAAACTATCAATTTTTGTGTAATGCTTTGTGAAAACAGTGATACATATTGATCAGAAAGTGACAGTAAAGTCATGTATAAGGTTACAAAACATTTCTATTTGAAATAAATGCTGTTCTTTTGAACTTTCATTAAAGAATTCTGGAAAGAAAATGTATCACAGGTTTAAAAAAAAAAAAGCAAAAACTTTTCATTAATAATACTAACATTGACACAATAAACACTGATAATAATAAAAACAAAAACATTGATAATAATAAAAAACATTATTATTATAATAATTGAGCACCAACTGGTAAGCATAAGAGATTTCAAAAACATTTAAAAAAATCTTAATTACTCCAAATATACAGTATATAATTGAATATTTTAATAATTTGATTTGGTTTTATTACAATTGCGGTATAATATCCAATTAATAATTAATAATAATAATCCAATTAATTATTTTGTCTTTATAATATCATGCTTAATATTCTTACATTGTATAAATTGGTATTTATGCATCAAAATATACAGCTATTGCCTTTATATTTTAGGAGAGGGTCCCTAAATTGAACCATATTTTATGTCCAAAAAAGAAAAGTTTGGCTACACAACACTAATAATAACCAAAAAATAGTCAATTTTAAATAACATTCTCTGGCCATATTTAATACACATTAAACTTGAAAATAATGTGCCTGAAAAAAAATTAGGAATTAAACACGGCTAGGGCAACATATGCAAACAATTATGATCCAGCGCTGTCAGTGCTGTGAGTTATGACTGAGGCTTCTGTGCCAGGTATAATGAAGGCCTACAGATGGACTGGCTGTGATTTACTACACTTATGTTATAAATCAAGTTTTCATCTGCTCATTTAGAAACACAGGTGATGCAGCTCACAGAACCTGTCAAAGCTCAGAGAGACAAACTGGCTATCAAAAAAGAGTTCAAAAGTGATGCCAGTTTTGTAAAACAGAGTCTGTAATTCAGCTGCATTTCTGAGAAACCCTTGAGAGAAGGCGTACTGTCTCTGTTTGTGTGTCTCTCTCGGTTCATCCCTAGGCCTTGCTGATGGACCTACACTGTGGCTCCTGCTCTGGAATACCAAACAGAGGAAGTGCGGCGCACACTGTGAGAGAGGAAAGATGACGTGAAGGACTCTGAGACACGGACGTATCGATCGTTGAAGGGAGAGGCAAGGAAGGGAAAGG